TTTTTTTTTTTTTTTTTTTTTTTTTTTTTTTTTTTTTTACTGGTTTTAATGCACTGTGAATATACCTTCTGAAATAAGAGTGATATTTTAAGAATTAACATTTCATCAATAAATAAAGGAACCTACACTAACATACATAATTCTTCCAGGTGTCTGTGTGTCAGTGTTAGGAAGTGATAACCAATTCCCTGATTTCTTCACTCGAGACAGTGGATGCAAAGCCCCATGTCATGTTGAAACTCCTCTCATGGCAGCTCACATGATGAATAAGTGGCAGGAGATGAAGATAAACTCAGGAATGCTGATTGCTGTGCCCATACCAGAGGAACACCAGGCTGAGGGGAAACTCATTAAAGAAGCAATTGGTTGGTAATTCTTTCTTTTGTGGTATCATTGTCCATAAGAAGGTAAGGGATTTTTTCTGACTGATATAATATACATGTTAGACATTAATTTTTTTCTTTCTTTCTTTTTGAGTTTAGTTGTTCATTTATTCACATATATTTTGCTTTACTCAGAGATATGTTTCTTTTATTAAGTATTCAACAGGGCTAGCATTCCAGAAATGTGAAAGACAGACTTTCTTTTTTTATCTGCATATACAAATAATATAAAGCTGTATTAAAGTTTAATTGCATGTTCAGCTGTTTCAAGTAATCTTGTGAGGAAACAAAACTTATTTTTTTTGTTATCTATCCTGTAAAATGGGATTTAATTATTATATTCTTTAATGTAAAGATTTTCTTATTCATAATCCACTTCGTAGACTCATGCATATATACATATATTCAAAAATATTCTGAAGAATGTTATAAACCCTCTGATAGATGAAGCAGTGAAGGAGGCAGAGTTAGCAGTATCTGGGAGGGAAGTGACTCCATTTATTCTTCAGAGAGTCTTTGAGATCACAGGAGGACAGAGCCTCAAGTCAAGTATCCTTTTGATGATATATAGAGAAGTGTTTTATTTTAAATAATGTGTATATTTATGTTCGTTCCTCTTGGTTACTTTTCTTATTTGTCTGTGTTAATCAAGCTAATTCTCCTCTATTGTGATTCTCTGTTATTGTTTATTGATATTCTTATTTTTGTAGTATAGTTGCTGTTTTCCATAAACAGGCCACTACTGGATTGTTGTCATCCATAATTCTAGTTATGCTTTATCCTTCATTCTTGTTTTGCATTTTTTTTCCTTTTCCTCCCTAAGCATGCTTATTCTCCTTCTTTATTCTTTTTAATGTTTTATCACCCAGAAAGATTAATTAGTTTGTTCATTTACAAGGCTATTATATAAGGCTTTAGTAAGAATGTGCTTGTAAACATAAACTCATGTATATATTATATGGCAAAATGTTGAAAGTAAAACAGCAATTTATCATCAGAAAATGTATTACTGTGAAAAAAAAACATATTTGGCAGCCATACCCACCTTGAACATAAAGCTGCTGTTATTTTATTTTTTATTGTCCTCAAGAGCATTGTTACTCATCTATTCATGATCACCAAAGAATATGATTTGTCTTCTTTCTTTGAGAAAAAAATCCAGTTGAATACGTTAATATTTGTTGGATTTTATGTGAATAGCCAGGTGTTTTGTATTCTTCCTGGACTGGAACTCAGGTTCAGATAGCTATTTTCTACAACAGTTACTTATGGTCAATTACTTGCAATCTTTTATCCAGTAATTTTCTGGAAGATTAAAAAATAATTATCATTGCATTATTTGATGTGGTTAATGCTAGCTGTTTCATTCTTTATTTTTATTATGATCCACTTATACATTAATGTATATAATATTATGACAAGTCATCTCTGTTAGAGAGTCATTGGCTCAGTGGGCCACTGTGCATCAGGAGTTCAAGCCTCTCCGGTGACGAGTGACTGGTATCCCAACTATTTCTAATTAATTCTGATGGAATAGGATAGGCAAATTGTTAAACAGCTCTAGTTTGATTTGTGCATTGCAATTGTTGACAAATTAATATTCACTATTACTTTCCTTAATAAAATCAGATATTGCTCTCATTCAAAATAATGCAAAGGCAGGTGCACAGATTGCTGTAGAACTTGCCAAGCTTAAATCATCAACTTCAAGGTAAGAAATATATTACATATTAATTGTATTTTTTTAATAATCTAACAATATTAATCTATGAATATTGATATAAAGTTACAAAGACAGTGGCATTTAGTTAAGAACATGATAGATTGATTTGTATTTAAAAGCAATTTAAGCTAGAATTATATGGAAGGGAACCTTTCTTTACCTACTTAATTAATAACTGATTTCATATTGTGGCTCTCAGTTGATTGTTATCTTTATAAATGTGGAAGCTCAAGTTATCCCTACGAGAATGAATTAATCAAGAATAATATTTTGATTTATTTTTTGACAGTGAATCATATAATATATTGATCAGAAATATTCTTTTGTTTCCAGCTTTTTACCACCAAGGGACTCTCTCACAAACAAATCTGGAACTTCGGAGCAAGGAAGACCT